GGGCAGGGCAGGGCAGGACAGGACAGGGCAGGGTAGAAAGGCCTCTGCTACCTCTCTAGTTGGTGTAAAGATGAGGCTGTGGCCACCCAAATCATAGTTTCAGCCCCCCCACCCCACCCTCTCTGCAGAGACTGATGCCGGGGTCCCTCTGCTCTAGACTAGGCAGTTGCAAAGAACCGAAGTGTAGAGCCCGGCTTCAGCTTCTTGTTTGCCTCGCTCACTTCCAAGCCTCAGTCTTCAGTTCCGAACAGGCAGGGCAGGCAACAACCCCCAGTTTCATCCATTACCCTGTACAGATGGGACAAGACCGGCTGAGGCCACAGAGAAATGGAGCTACAAATGCCAGCTTCCTTATCGCCCCCTACACTCTCAGGACTCTGAGGGAAGGGCCTGTGTCTCCTCAGACATCTTTGGCTTGCTGGCCAGATGGCCAGGCTGCCTTCAATGTTCTTTTGCACTAATAGTTATGGTAGTATTTAAAGGAAACTCAGAGCTGAAGCCATCCTCATCAGTCAGTGCCCATGCCAGGGAGCTGACTTTCCTCTGTCTCTTAACATGGTAGGTAGGGTTCTGTCAGACTTCCAGGTACATGCACTCAATTCCACGCCAGTGGGACTCCCAACACAGTGTGAAGAGTTGCTCTGTGTATTCATTTTACAAGTCTTACAAATGATTTATTGTCCCGCCCAGCACCTGGCTGGCTCCTTCTCATTCCTAGTTGCATAGGCAAGACCAAACTAAACTATGTACTTTGGAACTTCTTGCCAATACCAGAGAGAATATAAAAACCAGATCACTTTCTTTGGTTGGCGAGGGAGGGGGTCTCTGGAGGGGCTCACCTCTGCCCCCTCTCCCATCATTCCATCCATGATGGCTTTCTGCACAAGAGCCTTGATGAATTCCTCCCCGTTTTTAAAGAGAAGCCTTAGGGCTAATGGAGCACCGTGACCAAAAGCAACTTGAGGAGGAGAGGGTTTATTTGGTTTGCCTAGCCTGAGTCATTTAGGGAAGCCAAACCAGGAGCTCAAACCAGGCAGGAGCTGATACAGTGGCCATGGAGGGGTGCTGCTTATTGGCTTTCTTAGAGCATACAGGACCACCAGCCCAGGGGTGGGTCCTCCCCTATCAATCACTAATGGAGACAGTGTCTTACAGGCTTGCCTACAGGCCATCTGATGGAGGCAGGCTCTCAATTGAGGGTACCTCCTTTCAGATGACTGAGGCCAGCATTCATCAGGGCCTTTCCAGAACCCATACCAGACTGGCATGGGCTCCTTATGAAAACAGTCTGGTAATTAGGCAAGGTGATGACGCCACAGCTCCGGGATTGACTGTGTTAATACAACTGTGGGTGTAGAAGGCGTGAGAGGCGTTTCCTACACAGAAAGTCCGACCACTCACCAGGGGCACTGCGTGCCCCGTTCTATGGGCCAGGGAGGTGATGGGGGCGCTCTGGTGCAAGTGTGGCCACTGCTATCTCAATCTTCACAGAGCTCCATCAAAACCACCCTCTGGGGTTGCACACCTGGGGTTTTGAAATTGCACATATGGTTAAGAAAGAAACTCCCTCTGAGTTCGAGGCCAGCCTGGTCTACAGAGTGAATTCCAGGACAGCCAGTGGTACACAGAAAACAGAAACAAAATGAAAAAGTAAAAATGGTGACTGGAGAGAACCCACTCCACAGGTTGTCCATACACACACAGCAATAAAGCACTGAGACATGAAACACTACTTCTACAGAATAATTGGGTGTAAATCCACAGACTGGCGTGGATGTTTGGAGATACAGTAACAGCAGCTAGCCAACATCTACCGCCCTGTTAAGTTGCAGATGTTTTTGCAAGTGCTGCACGAAAGTCGTTTCCTCCTATAACTGGGATTATAAGGCTATTCCTAACTATCATTATCCCGCATGTTCAGGGATTAACGTCTAAATTTAAAGACTCTAGGTTAGAGTTGTATGAACTGTTTCACCAAAATTTTGACTTCGAGAAAATAAAAGAGAAGGTGCATGGATTTATTTTTGAGAAGTGGAAATATTCTTGAAACTGTTTATTAAGGGATGGCAGGTTTGCTGTAACTCTCCTGTGGATAAATTAATGGGGACTAGGACACACTTCTACATCCTTGCTTGATAAAAGGTTGTGAAGATTATTAGAGTACACAGACCACACACCAGCAAGATGTCTAATGTATCTGATCCTAGGGATTTGTACCTTAAACATCTAGATGATTATATTGGCCTCAATATGATGCACATACTGACCCCAATATGACTGATGAGCATACTGACCCCAATACACTCATCTAGCAATAGACAAGGAGGAAACAGCACTAAGAGCAGTGGGCTAAGCCTGGACCAGTGGCTCTGCCCCTCCCTGTGCCCCACACCCACCCTACGCATGACTTCCAATGTCTGTAGCTCTACAGTTCAATGACTACAGCAACTCTGTCACTTTTTCAGCTTCACTCAAATGACTCATTGGAATGCTACACAACCCAGACACTTGATTTCCATGGTTTCCAATGCTACCTTCTTGTTTAGCTAACTCAAGCCCTTTGTCTGAACAAAGACAGAGAAACAAGACAAATCCATGGTCACAAGGCTGCCTGGGACCCACAGCTGCATTCGGAACAGTTTCTGGTTGCTCTATAATTTCATACTAAAAGGGACACCTGTCTCTCACCCTGTGGTGACCTTAGAGATGATATAAAGAGGGTTATGCAAATAGCATAAATAGAGCAAATGTAATGACCTATAGCTCAGCTACACATAGCATTCAGCTTTCTGCCCCTCCCCCCCCCCATGTGAAAAAGGAACCCCACCGGCTCACTCACCATTTCCCAGACAATGTCAGGTGAAAGCAAGGCTCCTGCTGAGGACCGAACCCTGGCCCTCTGATTCTCCAGTTCAAAGGCCGTCCCTGTGCTGCCCACAGACCAAGACTATCCTAGTTTGCCTTCTGCCACTGTGATAAACACCATGGCCACACCAGAGTGAGTAGGGATGGTTTGTTTCCTCTTGCAGGTTACAGTCCACCAATGCCGGAACCTGAGGCAGAACTGGAGCAGGGGCTAAGATGGCTGTCTATTAGCCTGCTCTGACTCATGCCCCATCAGCTTAAGGTCTGGGCATTGTAAAATGTCCAGAGGACTCAGAATCAATTCCCAGAACCTAGACAGTGGCACACAACCATCGGTACTCCAGTTCCAGGGAACCCAGTGCCCTCTCCTGGCCTCCACAGGCACTAGACACACATGGGGTACATTGATATACATGCATACAAAAACACCTATACACATAAAACAGTTTTTGTTTTTGTCTTAAGTAAAATGGAGTTGGGATGAGTCTCAGACAGTAGCAGAAGCTTTTGTTTTCTTAACACAGGATTGCCCAGCAACCACATGGGGTGTAGAACAATTCTTTGTTGTGCAAAGCTGTCACATGTACTTTGGGACATAGTACATCTATGACGTTTGTCCACTAGATGCCAACAGTGGCCCCATCCACTAAAAGCCATGGTCCAGGAGATCATGTGGTGTGTAGCCTCACCACACCAATGGTGAGCTCATGGATCTACACACGGGCTACTGATGACAACAGTGTTCCACATGTTGTTGTTAGCTCATGTGACAGAGGAAGGCCTGCTGGGGGCCTCACATGGAAGGAAGTCACAGGAAAGACAGCTTCTTCTGCATGTTATACATAGATGTGCCCTGAAAATTCCATCCACACCCCAGAACCGGCCCTGGGACTCAACAACAGGAGGGCGGAGCCTAAAGCACAGAGGACCAAAGCTAAAGGCCTCAGATAATGCCATCCGTGTGTGTGTGTGTGTGTGTGTGTGTGTGTGAGAGAGAGAGAGAGAGAGAGAGAGAGAGTGTACATGTGTGTGCACTCGTGTGCACCTGCAGCAGGCAGTCCTGGTGACTGTCCACTTTCTCCATAGCTGGGGCCTCAGCCTGCAGAGTTTCCCCAAGTCACTGACAACTATGCATCAAAGACCAGCATGGTTCACACATAGTTGACACACGCAGCTTGCTGGGGCAACATGTGATGTTAAAAGCTATTTAATCTGGAAATAAATGGGGGCCAGGATGTGGCTTAGCCGGTACAGCACTTGCCTAGGATAACGAAGCTCTGGATTTCATCCCCAGCACCACAGAAAACTGGACATGGTGGCACACACCGTATTCTTGGCGCCTGGGAGGTAAAGGCAAAAGGACCACAAGTTCAGGGTCATCCTCAGCTAAACAGGGAGTCTGGAGCCAGCCTGAGCTACAAGACCTTGTCTCGTGTGTGTGTGTGTGTGTGTGTGTGTGTGTGTGTGTGTGTGTGTGTGTGTAATGCTTCCGGTACCTTTGCACAGGGAGCTCTAACAATGTTCCATGGACAGAGGGTTACAGAAACAGCAACAGCCACACATTGCAGAATGAATGCGCCCACAATGAGCACGGGGAGCGGTGAGAACGGAACGGGGGGGGGGGGCGGTATATGAGGCAGCAGTGTACGGTCTTCTCAGCAGGCCAGGGAGAAGAGGACACGAGAGGGGACACTGAGTGATACCCTGCTGAAAAGGCAACAGGCCAGGCTCCCCTTAAGCAAGACACCGTGTCCAAATGTGTCACAGAAAGCAGGGAAAGGAGAGACAAGCGGGACACAGCCTCCATCTGGCTGCTGCTCTCCACAGCCCAGCAGGGTGGCCTGGCTTGCAGGGGCCACTGATCCTCCACTGCACCAGCCTTATCAGTTTCTGAGACGGGGACATGAGGTGTCCTAGAGTGACGGGGTACACTGAGATGAGGCATGCTAAGTGACCTAACCAGGAGGTGCTTATCACTCCATTCGCAGTGTTCACTGGTTCTGTAGCTTTCGTAAGACAAACAAAGATAAACAGCTGTGTTGACAGCAGGGCTTAAAGCACTTGGCTTTTAAAATAGCTAACTGCAATCCATTACAAAACCCTGAAATGTGATACACTAAGAAATGGATGGTGACTAAGGATTTACTGATGCATTTATTGGTGGCATTGCTGAATGAATAATGCAGAGCACACAATGCAAAGAGACCAGCACTGGGCAGGAAGCAGGGATCTTAGACGCAGCGCATTTCCATATTACATGCGTTAAGATTTACAGAGGGAAAACCACTCCTAAAGCATTCCGTTCTAACCCGTGAACCTCTGGGCAGAAGCCTGCTTTCCCTCCTGGCATTCCACCACGTGTGACTAAGTAAGAGCAAGACTACAGGCTGGTTCTGAAGCAGCCAGTCGGGAGCTGTAAAGCAGTTCCTTCAGCTAGGATAAAGCCACATGAAAGAACAGTGTCAAGCCTGGTATGTAAAAGCAGAGGGGAAGATGCCGGCAAGCGAGGGGCTGGCAGAAGGGCCCACTCTACGCAGTCAACTAGTGGCGACTTCGCTATAGAAAACAAAACCATCAGTTCTTCACCACGGGTTTCAGATTTTCCTCAATGAAAAATTATTAGCCTCCACACTCCACAATAACACAAAGACACGCTTTCTATATTACAGAAGCACAGACAAAGGGGGCTGTCAATCACACTGTTGGAAGCTGCAGCATAGTTTGGGGTCCAGGTTCCTACTCACATAATGCGCCTATGCACAGCAGACTGGCACCATGGCACCAGCACGATATTGTTCAGAGCTCTTAACTCAGAAATACTCCCCCGCTCCCACTGCTGGCCACTGCTGACCTGGACGGCGTTCACTGGGATCAAGGGTTAACTGTGACATGCATGTGACACAGCTGGCTCACAGGACTAAGTCTCAGTGCCTCGACAGTTACGGTGACAGTGAAGGGGAGGATTCCTTTTCTCTACTGACTACTCACTACAAAGGATTTCCTGATATTTTTCTGAATAGGACATATCAAAAGTAAAAGTGGGAGGAGACTGGGAAGTGAGGAAAGTGAACTTTCAGACACTGCAAATAATCACTTTAGAATGAATCAAAATTTTCCCACAGCAACCGCACATCAGATCAAATCAATCCAGAGAAGACAGCTAACATTCAAAACCCATCTGCTGTCTGACTAGCTTGAAAATATCCTTTAAAACTCAAAGTTTCTAACAGTTCTAATTTGTCATTTAGGTTGTGAGGGAAAAAGAATTAAAAATGTAAGCTGAAAGTGTTCACTCTCTCCTCTTCCCAGGAAAGTAAATAAAAACAGAACAGGGCTCGTGCAAAAACTGAACGAGAAAGAAAACAAATCCACTAACGAAATGGAATCACAGAACAAACAGCCTGCCTTCCAGTGCTCACTGCTCCTCCCTCAGGTCGGGGCCCTGCTGGGGGCCTCTGGCTCTGCCTGGAGCTCTGGTCATTGCCACATTTGATCACACAAGCCTGGGCAGATAAGTCTCTAACCATAGGCTGCCTCAGAGGTATCATCGGGATGCAGTATAACCAACCACAGGATGAAGTTCAAAGGAACACATCATTCTTCTCAAAGGGCCTCGGCAAGTAAAAATCCAAAACGAAAACAGCCCTTGCTGCTTTGCCCTAAGAAATATTCTAAGAACTCAATGCACCAGCTCAGGCTGGTTGTCCACAAAGGGCAGCACCCCGCTCACATAGTAGGCGATGCCCAGAGATAGCAAAGCAATGACCAAGATTAAGAGCAAGACCCTCCAGAAGCCCAGGTCCTCCACAAACTCCTGCCACGTGGTCCGGAAGCTGGACAGGACTCCTTCGCCTTGCTGGAGGTTGGGGTTGAGCAGGGAGTGGCTCTCCATGGCACTGTGGGAGGAGGGAAAAAGAAAGGGGCATGAAAACACACTTCACCATAGAGCACAAAACAAGGCGAGCTACAGTACTGAGAGAAGGCCAGCCTTCCAATGAATGAAGTACCGGAGACCTCGCTACAGAGAAACCAGAATGTGCTGGTTACAAACTCCTGGGAATCCACATATCGGCTTTAGACCATTAACTAATACACTGCAATGATTGGATCCCTGGTTCACCACTCAGCAGGCACCCAGCACCACCTCCTAGTCAGGAAGTCCCAATGGGTGTCTGAGGAGTGAAGGGGAATGACTATGATCAAGATACATTGTAAGCATGCATGAAATTGTCAAACATAAAAACATTTCACAGGAGCCACAAGCAAAGATCTTGAAACAGGTCAGATGCCTGCCTTCATCAAGACATTAACAAAAACCCATTTTGTTTTACGTTTAGAAGATTCATACTGAGGAGATGGAGATGGCTCAGCAGATAAGAGCACTGGCTAGGTTCCGGGTACCCACAGTTCCAATGGGTCTGTCGCCCTCTTCTGGCCTCTAGAGGTACCAGCCACACACAGTACATTCATACATATAAGAAAAAAACACTCAAACACAGAAGATAAAATTTAAAAATATTTTTAAAAATTCAAAACAGAATTTCATAATTTGATATTTTGTGGTCATAAAAATAACAAAAAAAACCAGCCAGTAGATTTAAAAGTCCACTTCAACACGGTATATGGATTTCAAGTTGGGAAAGGAATCTCTCTTAATTTAGTTGTCATGTGCTGGAATTCTCTAAATAAAATCTATTAATGGAAGCTTACTTCTCAGCCTGCAGTACATGTGGACTGGTCTTAGGGATTCTTTTTTTAATTATCCTCTGTGTCTTTGCATGTGTTCTCTTTCCAGTTGAGGCTTTCATGACCAGAGCTTTCACCTGCTGAGTCATCTTGCTGGCCAGGGGTCCTTACCAGCTTCCCCACCATTTTATATATTTATTTACAGGGTCTTCCCACACAGCTCGGCCTGCCTACGACTCATTTTATAGCTGAGGCTGGCCTCGAACTCTCATCCTGCTGCAGTCTCCTGAGCACCGGGGAACACAGATGTGTGTGCCACCTTGTCCAGATTTGTCCTTCTCAGTTTGTCTGAGCCCTTAACAGGGAATGAGTTCGCTTTTCTTCTGCAGGGAGACAGACTACTTAGAAACACGGTAGTTTAAATAGTCTAAAGCAGAGTCAAGTGGTCATGGCACTATCGTGAGCCATGTAAACACCACACAGAAGATGGGGGCTCTGCCTTTGGGGTGTGAAGGCCACTGAGTGGTGGACTGAAAGTTTACGGGACGCACTCAGAGCTGTCACAGCCTAAAGCCACGGAAACATAATCATATGGGCCAGCTGTCAGCTGGCCATGAGAACCGACTCTCCTCCCAAACCCTCCTTTATATTCTCCCAGCCATCAGCACAGAGCAACAAAGCCAGCGCACAGCAGCAAGGTATGGGTAAATCCTGTCATACAATCTGATTTGACTTCTTCACACTTAGCCAAAGGTAACTTCCTAATGGGTCCATGTGCTGAACACCTGAATTCTTTTTTATATTAAAAGATGAATAAAACACGGCACTTGCCTTAAGTTTACAACAATATGGAAATTTAAGAAAATTCCAGTAAGTTCTATAATAAGAGTAGCACTTTGAGAAGTCAAATTAAAACAAAGAGCCTTAGTCTGACCTATTTGAAGTTTCCTCGGCCTGAACAGACATCTCCCTCACAGAAAGATTCGTGTAAACCGAGAATTCTGTGAGCCTTCTCCAGGAGCCCACAGACTCTGCCAATAAAAACAGAGACTTACCCAGTGCCCCACTGTCCATGGACTACTCGACTCCAGTAGAGAGGAGGGTGTGGGATACTGGAGGTGGGGTCTCATTGGAACACCCTCAAACTGACGACCATGCCGACCAGGTCAGCCTCAACGTGTGTGCTCGTCTTGCCTCTGCCCCCAGTGCTGGGATTACAGGTGTGTGCGGCCACTCTTGACTAGATCTTTCTTAAACATACGTCGCCTTCACTGTCTTTACATATTAACAATAATAAAGCAGAGGGGCTGGAGGGGTGGCTCAGTGGTTAGCAGCACTGCTGCTCTTGGAGAGGACCCAGGTTTGATTCCCAGCACTTACACAGCAGCTCACAGCAGTGCAACTTCAGCACGGCACACACCTGATGTGCGTCGGTACATACATACATACAAGCAGAGAAAACATTCATATATATAAAATAAACACTTTTTTAAAAGAATAAATCTGAACTTACAGTAATACACAAAGATGGGGAAGTATTCTTCATCAACTTGATTTCTAAGTCCTCCCCCACAAGTTATCCTATGTCTCCCAGAACCCCATGGAAAGTATCACAGTGAATCCATTGCCTTAAAAGTGGTCACAGTTAAGCTATGACACCACTTCCTGGCTTGTCCCTTTGTACTTTCCACCATTCTGTTTATTTTCATGATCTATAGTAGAAATGTCTTCTTTTTATGTCTCACTATGTAATCCTGGATGGCCTGGAACTCACAGAGATTCTCCTGCCTCTGACTCTCAGGGCTAAAATTAAAGACATGTACCCTGTTGGCTGGCTAAAATCAGTGGTTCTGAGATTTTCACGGGTGTGAACCATCTCTCCTGACTATTTCCAACACGCCATCACCACTTGTCTCAAACTCTGACCCACCGGTCACCCTTCATTGTCCCCCAAACTCCAGGAACCCTGAATCTACCCTTCCCCCTGTGAACTTCCCCATTTGGGACACCACACCAACAGTGTGTGACCTTTAGTACCTGGCTTCTCCCATACAGCACGTTTTCGCTATTTATCCTGACTGCAGGATCTATTAATACTTCATTCATTCTTATGGCAGACTAACATTGCTCTGGATAAGCAGGTAGTGTTTATTCCTTCATCTGTGGATGAGAGTTTGCTATGTTCCTGCAAGTAGAACTGCTGGGTCACGTGGTAACTGTGTAACATTTAACAAGCTGTCAGACTGTTTTTCAAAGTGGTCCCACTACTCTGTGCTGTCTTCAGAGGGGTCTACTTGCCCACAACCCCCACAGTACTAGTGATAGTCCGTTATAGCTGTCCTCAGAGCTAGTACTATTCCACTGCGGTTTTGATCTGCAGTTTTGAAAAGCCATTTTTAAATGGGATTTAATCCCTGCGACTGTGGCACCGAGGGCGGGAGTGAGTAGGAGGACCACACAGCAGCAGCGTTAATCGTTTACAGTGAGGAGAGTCAGCATCCAAAGCCTGTAACTAACACAAACTCCCATGACAAGCATTCGGAAGGCAGGGGCTAACATGGCTCCAAAGCTGCCCAATCAACTAATCGTGCCTTAGTTAATTAGTAATCACAACAGGCAAAATAAAGCCCAAGTGTATTTCTGATAAAGAGACTTACTAGCCAGTATCAAAATGAGATCTCCAAAAAGCATCAAGAGAAGCATACATTATTAAATATTTTTCGCAGTACCGAAGCTTGGGGCTGGAGAAATGGCACAACCGTTATGAGCACTCGTGTGCAATCACGGGGACTGTGACTTAGATTCCTGCACCCGCCTAACAGACCAGGCACCCCACACATGCCTGTAACCCAGCTCCAAGGGAGGGGAGAAGTGGAGAAAACAGGAGGCCGGGGCCAAGAGAGGCCCTGCCCGGAAAGCATGAATGGCGAGTGATATGGACACCTGGAACCTTCTTCTGGCCTCTTCACTACTGCACAGACCTGCACATCAGCATGCAGGAGCGCACAGACAGATGCACACACATACATCTTTTTTTAAAAAGCTTAAAGTAAGCTACTGTTATACAGAAAGATGAAAATAAGTTTCACATATTTGCAGAGGCAAAGCGTTACCACTGTTAACCGTGCCCTTGGCATATGGACTCTAATCCCTACAGAGTAAAGCAAGGGCTAGAATGTCAGCTTCTGGAGGGCTGGGGGTGGGGAGGGCTTCCCCAGCTCACAGTAAAAACCCTGGGGCCCCTGTAGGACACCAGGGAGTGCTTATGTAACTAACAAAGGAATGCTCAGTGGGAGTGTGGAACAGCAGACCACACAGGAAGGTGGCATGGCTGCCAAGGCATCAGACGGGCTGTGAAGTGCTGACCCTCCGGGTCCAAATGGTGTGTGAAAGGCCTGGGCCACTGGACCCCAGTTCACAGCTGTGTTCCCACAGAAACGCTGGAAGAGACAGCGTGTAGTAAGCGCACCAAGCTGACCTCACCGAGGCAGCCCACCAGGCATGGGGCCATAAGCCGTCCTGTCGGGGCCAGAGAGCAGGGCACTGTGCAGACCTTCACACTGACCCCACCGTGCATGATAAAAAGCGATCACACCTAAGGACCCTGCCAGCCGCCATATCTGAGCTCTGGTTACAGGGAGGAGCCCATTACTTCCAATTCATGTGAGAGCTACTATCCCTCATTTGTTTGAGTTATGAGCACTTGCGTACAATCGTGAGGACTGGAGTTTACATCTTTACATAATCAGGGTCTCACCATGTAACCCAGGCTGGCTTAGAACTTGTGGCAATTTTCCTGCCTCAGTGCAGACTTCCGGTATTACAGGTGTGAGCCTGGCAAAGGTACTTGCGATGACTGATCAATCTGTCGGTGTTTACACTCAATCCCCCTCCCCTCCTGCTTATTCCCCAGGACGGCACCGCCCTCCTTAGAAATGACCATCAGCCCCCCTAATGCTACCCAACTTGTCTTGTCCCTCTCTAATAAAGCCCATTCTTGTGACCCATTCTTAAAATTCTGAAGCTCCTCCCCTCAAACTCTGCCTTTAATTAATTGTGTCTTCTCCAACACAGCCACTGTGGCACAGCTTACTAAATACTATGGGAATGTGGTCCTTCGGGCACATGTTACAACTATAAGCTGGAGCCGTAGCTCATATATGAAGTAATAGAGCACAAAGCAGCTCGGTGACTGCTTAGACGACGGTCACCGGTACCTTTCGCTCTCCGCCGTCTGCATGGTCTCCAGCTTCGAGTGTGTGCCTCTGTTAAAGCCTTTCACCTCCTGCTCTTCCAAAGACTCCAGCAACCGGATGACATCCTTATTCACACCCCGGCGCTTTGCCAGAACTAAGGGGGTAGCGCCTTGATGATTGCTGGAAAAGACCACAAAAAAAGTCACTGCAGTGGGCATGCCACATGGCTAGCTCCCATTGGTGTGCCATCAGCTAGGACAGCGTGGGCCAATGGTTCACAAGTCAAGCCCAGAGCAGATCCAAGCAAGCCAGAATTGGACTTGTGAATTACTGGATTTTTCCTTCCAGGAAAGAAAGAAAAGAAAAAGAACATTTTGGAAAAAGAGAGAACAGATGACAATAAGCAAAAGGAAAAGGAGAACATCACAGATGAATTGGAAAGTCTAGTCCTAGAATCAGTCTATGTGCACAGTGAGTATATTCATGTATGTATACACACATGTATGTATATGTACACATACATCTCCAGACGCAGTCTTTCTACACACTGAGTATATTCATGTATATGTACACACATGTATGTGTACACAACATAAATGTCTAGACTCCAGTCTTTGGACACATTGAGTCTATTCATGTATATGTACACACAAGTATGTATATCTCTAGACTCAGTCTTTGTTCACACTATTTTCATTCATATATATACACATGCAATGTGTACCCACACATACATCTCTAAACTCAGCCTTTACATACGTTGTGCGCATATATTCGTGTATGCTTGCACACACATTTATATGAATGAAAAGCTGCTCGAGCACTGAGCTACCTGAAATTAGCATCAGAAGAACAGAACAGAGCTCAAATCATCCCCCCCCCCAACCTGTCCTACTGTCATGGAAACATCTGCTACCATGCTCATCCAGGTGGCCACGGCCACCCAGTACGCCAGGGCAGAAAGAACCTGTAGCAAGCTCAGCACTGAGACGAGCTGGCCTTTCCCACACAAGAGAGCGGGTGGCACTGGGTCAAACAAAACCAAAACCCCATGTTGTCCTCAAGTGTGCAGCCTGAAGAGGACCCGGGCCCCAGTGCCATGATGAGGCCAGGAGGTGATTCGAAAGACCACACATGAGATCTGCAGAGGAACTGGTCCAAATCCCAGCCCTGTCCTTCCTAAGCTGTGTGGCCCCCTGACCCACCTATGTCACGTGTAAAATGAGGAAAGGGAGGGCTGGAGCTCAGGGGAGAGGTGTGCTCAACATACAAATACCTGGATGGGGAAAATCTAAAAAATAATGAATAAAAAATGAAGAGCCTAGAGCAAGAGCTACTTAAGTTTAGAACAAGCTCGTCAGAGAGCATCCATCCTTCTTCTGTTGAATTATACTTTACAATTAGTTAAAAGAAACCAGCTACCATGTCACACACACACACACACACACACACACACACACACGCATGCACAAGTGTGCTCCAGGGCTCACCTCATGTTCCCACACTCCACTAATAAGGCTTTGATGCCTTCCTGAACTCGTCATTATGACTGATCAGCTGGTGATCAGATCCCAGCTTGCACAACTAACAACAGAAAGAAACGACCTGGCTTCAAAGGCACCAAAAACTCACCAGATATCAATTTTGAGTCCGTTGGAAACTAAGAACTGGATGGTGTCCACGTGGCCACACAGGTGGAGGGCAGTGTTCCCCTGGTAATCTGTGGCCAGAGGATCAGCACCAAATTTATGTAGCAGCTGGCAGATGTCCACATTCCCTCGGGCCGCGGCAAGGTGAAGGCCTGTTCTACCCCTGCTGTCACGAATGTTTGGGTCGAAGCCACTTTCCAAAAGCCGCTTGGAGTAGGTGAAGTCTCCATCGATGCAGGCTTGAAGCAAGGGCACATTAGTCTGTGAAGAGTCGTTCACAAAAACGTAGGACATCGTCGGATGCGTTGGATGGACTCTACTGCAGTGAGAGATGAGGCCAAAGACAACCAGTCAGAAAAACAAAATCTATCTTTCTTGGCTGCTTCCTCATAAAGAATTTCCTCAGCAAACAAGCGATAATCACAAAATTGCCGATTATGTTTTATTTTCCACTAAAAGACTGTATTTTCTTCACATCTGCCACATCAAAATGGCAATTACAATTACTGAAAGGCTCTCTCACTTCTTATCACAAAAAGGTGCTGAAATATTCTGAAGCTAAAATGCAATTGCTAGATTTCAGTTCATGACATCAGAAAACGCCCATGGTTCTCCTTCACACTTACTTCTTACAGGAGACACTCTAGCGTAAACAGAAGAACCCGTGAGAAAGCCCACTGTGCAGACTTAATCCAGCCCACAGCACATTGTATCTGAGGCACAAAATTTAAGACTTCATTTTAAAAAGCTGGAGGAATTAACACACTGGTTTAAACATGCCGTTAAACCAGCCGGCTCTTACAGAATTAACCCTCTTCTGTGGTTTTACCATCACCTCAATACTTCATGTTGCCAGACTTCCAGCCAGTAAGGCCTGAGTGATGAGGGAGACAGGCCAAGCAGCAGCAGCTGTGCCCACAGGACGCCCAACCCCCGTCCACGTAGGTTCTGCGGCCTGACTCTGTTGGGCACACTGTCGGCAGCCCCAGTACCCAGTCCCCTTAGGGTCCAGAGAGACCACACCTGGACAAACCCAAGCCGAGCCTGGCACTGCCCTACCCCGCCTCAGCCACAGCTGCGTCTCAGCCGCATGATGCTCGGCTTCACAAGCTCTGCCCTCACTCCTGGCTTCATCTAAGAAGGAAGTCTCCCAAAGGGAGCTTCTGAAGAAAAAAAAGACCGGGGCATTTTCAGACAAGGCTCCTTTTAGAAAACATATTTATCTATAATGTCTGCCTGTTTGTGCACACTGCATGTGTGCACGCCATAGTGTGTGTGTGTGTGTGTGTGTGTGTGTGTGTGTGTGTGTGTGTGGTCAGAGAGTAACTGGTGGGAGTCGGTGCTCTCCTTCTACCATGAGAGTCCGGGTCACCACACTCAGGTCCTCAAGCTTGGCTGTGGGCACTTCGTCTTCTGCAGTCTTGCCAGCCCCTATAGAGAAGGCTCTTTCTCATTCACAGGCAGTCTCGGCTTGCAGTTTCTCAGGTGAAGTCTTTCTGGAACACTAATGGCTCTGGGTACTAGACCAACCCACTGTCCACACCCCTCCTCCCAAGGTCTGGGAGTGCAGTCCATGGACACTGAGTCTTCCTGGGCTCTTAGCTCTCTGGCCTGGGCTGTCTGACTGGAACTCTGCTGCTGCTCTTGGCTCTCAGGCAGGCATCAGCCCATACCTCCTGAGGACTTGTTCTGAGCAGCTGTCAACATGGGGTGTTTCCTGCACGCTAAGTAACCACAGCAACATCAAGGTAAGCTTTACTACCCCTGACTGTCCATGAGAGCCCCTAAGATTTCAGACCAGCGAGACAGCATGGTCTTCCTGGGCTTTCAGACAGATGACCTGGACAGGAATGTAGAGGTTTAGACAGGAAAGACTAGAGGCAAGCAATCCATCAGTAGGTCACTAGACAGGAAATGATGGAATCTTGACCCAAAGCAGTGACAGAAAACGGGATCTTCTGGAGAGGGACACAGAACATGACCAAGGTTGAGCAATTGTTAAAGACACCTCTGGACAGAGGTCAAGATGAAAAACACTAATTATAACACAGCATGATGATTAGGGGTTTGTCTGAGGCAGGGTCACTGTTCCTGCCTCAGAAATCACTGACAGCTTAAAATCTAATTCTTTTTTTTAAGTTTGTTTTTTTAAGACAAGGTTTCTCTGTGTATCCCTGACTGTTCTGGAACTCACTCTGTAGACCAGGCCATCTTAAGAACGCATTTAATAAAATAGTTGACAGTTTTGCATAAGCATTCTCTAATTTCCCCCTGCACTGTTCACTGGATTGGGACACCAAAACAAACAAAACCCAAACAAAAACTGTCATGCCTTGGAAATAAAAGAACATATACCAAGTGTTTTCCAAGAAACGTGCTGGCTACACTCTGCAAGAAATGATCCTAAAAATCTATCTACTAGGTGTCCTGACTCAGGTCTTCTGGCATGCAGACTTGAATCCTGTGGAGTGGTCCAGGCTGGACAAGGACACGGTCCTTCTTGTCCCCTGAGGTGAGAAGGGACATTGGCTGGTTTCTGGCCTGGAGGAACTGCCTCACCTCAGCCCCACTTAAGACTCCCATAGGCAGATGGTACACTCCCCTTGGTCAGGGAGGTGAGCTGCCCTAGTACAGGCCACAGTTCTCAGTGAAGGCTCTGAAGGAATCTGCAGCAGCACCCACCCACCTCAGGTGGCCTGCCAGAGCTGCATCGATTCCTAACAAGCTTGGTAAAGAAAGCAGCAATGCTCCCAGAATGAACAACAACCACAAGGAACTTCTCTTACAGTGCAGGTGAGCGTGAGAAAGAGCGTGTAGCTCTGAGGCACACGGCAGGTCACGGGCCTGTGCACATTCCCCAGAATGCCTGTGGTGAAGCAGCAATGTGCCAGGCCACCCAAGTGACTGCTCGGCACTCAGTGATGAGAAGGAAGGATGGAGGGTTTGACTGTGGAGCTGTGACCACAGGCAGCAAAGCCATCAAGGTACCATTGACAGGGAACAAACAAGGCTCTGGAAGTCACTCCAGCCTCTGGAACTCTGAATGCCCATTCTCCACAACATAAATGGAGGCTGGTCTTTAACTCTGCCTAATTAGTTGTTGTAGGGCCACAGAATTTGGACCCAGGGTCTTGTACAAGCTAAGCAAGGGATCACCCTCTGAACTACACCCCCAGCTCCACAAAAGCACTCCTGGAAAGAAAACACTATTCCTAAGAGGGAGAAAAGGTAAACAAACAGCCAAAGCTTGTCATTAAACCAAACAAACTAGATTTAACTCTGTATTCTAATCTCTGTCCTCCTGCTGCCAGGCCTTGCCCTTAAGTCATGATTTGCCCACCCTTGGGCTTCCCCTGGATCACCAGTGTACCCTGTCTGACCACTCAAGTCTTACCAAGCACTGTGAAAGCAGGGTGTTGGGCCGCCATTCTGGATCATAGAAGTGCGGCACCAATCAATAAATAAAATTCACCATGTGCCTGAGATGCACCATGTCAGCTATTTGCATATGAAGTCCAAATCCCAGAGTCACCAGGAAGGTGAAACGTGGGTTGATCTTTTACTGGCCATGCAATCCTGCTATCCAGTATCTTTAAATGAATGTATAGAGAAACCATTGATGGTATCTGGCAAGGCTTCATTTACAACAAGCATATCAGACTATAACACGGGAGCTAGTGGTCTGGACTGGAGCTGGGGAGCACCGCTGACAAGCTGGATGTGAGGACCAGAGAGTATCAATGCATGCCAATGCACAGTACCCTCTACTGCTGGTTTTCTGAGTTCCATGTCAATTTGGACAAACTTCCTGGACTGAAGCACTTAATTCGACTGTCTTGGATAACTGTTCTAAGTACTTTGCATCTCTCATCCTGAGTGGCAAAGAGGAGTTGGCACTTACCGCCTCTCTGGCATAGACATGGCTTTAGTCTTTGGTGTGGAAGGTGAGAGGGTTTTTTGGCTTTTGTTTTAATGAATTCACGTTATGAAAGAGCGAGCTGTGCTCCTTGTGTGGAGTACAAAGACAAACCATGTAACTACGCCCCAAACACTCCTATTGTCCCCTTTGGTTTACAATGCACCGGGTAACCAAGTACACATGTCCAAATTATTGATCAGAGCGATGTGATTCCATAGCTCATGTGTTACATGAACACATCAGTGTTAATTATGACAAAACAGCCTCAATTTATGCATCAATCACTAGAAACCTATTCAGACCTTCTTTCCCCTAAAGTGAAGAAAAAGCAGAATGCATGTTAACTACTGCCGCAGGGGTGGGGACTAAAGATCTTTACAACTACATTTATTTGGAGACAACTCCAGACCCACCATGTCTCCTTTCCTTAGTTTCCCTGATGGCAACACCCTACAAACCCACAGTAGGGCATCACGGTTAGGACGCTGGCACTGACACAGCCAAAACACTGGGTGTTTGCAGCACTGGGGGCTGGCATGTTGCTCTTGTTTTGTTTCTATGGTTAGGGTTAGGGTTATTATGTGTATAAATGGTTTTGCGTGTGCATGTGTGTGCAGGTATACACACATACATGCCTGAGCATCACCTACATGTGTGATGCCCACAAAAGCCAGAAGAGGGCGCTTGATCCCCCGCTGCCACAGGGGTGTTGGGAATGAATTTGGGTTCTCTACAGGAGCACTGCGTGCCTGGCCCCACTCCTCCTTCCTCCTGTCTTCTCAGCCCCGAGAAGCCACTGTGTACCTACTGGTTCTGTAACCACGAGAGCACAGTGTAAGAGAAACCACAGTACCACACATGGGCCTCTGCCTGGCTCCTGTTTCCTTGGCATGATCTCTTCATATACAGTTGTGAATGCAACTCTGTCATTCCTTGTGATAGACAGACTATTGCTTGTTAATGAGCTTGCTACTGAAGGACACTTGGTTGTTACAGGAATTTAGCCATCACATTAGAGCCTTTTTCAAAAGGTATCAATCTCCTTTATTTATATTTGGCCATGGAGCACCATGGTATGCATGAGGAAACCAAGGATAACTTCCGTTTTCTCCTTCTACCAGGGATCTAACTTGATTGTCAGACTTGGCAGCAAGCCTCTCCCTTCATCATGGAGCCATCCGCACACTGAAGCTGTCAGCAGGACTGGTGAAAGGTTATGTTTTGACTGAAAGACTGCCCTGCCCACTGGTGTCATTTTTCCCACACAAAGAAGAATATAGCAAAGTCATCTTTGGAGTCATTGTTCTAGGGTCGAGCTCTTTACAGACAGCTCTGTAGGACCAAGCATTTGGAAGAACATTCAGAAGCCCCAGAATTTACCAAAGGCTATACTTACAAAGAACCATCCCAAAT